AAGTAATCATGCCCCGAAATCGCGGTGACTTCAAGTCCACATCAGTGATCTCTCTGATAACTACCAGCTATAACGGTCCGAATACACCTATCACTGAGAGCGTCGAATCACCCGGCTCTACGTTCGACGCTTCATGCTTCCGCAGTGAACAGTTTCGGTCACTAGCTACCGGGACCAGTGTGTGAAGTTGTGGAAACTTACGAAGAACTGCGTGTGACGCACACATCCTCGGACCTTGCGCTCGTGATATTCTATCAACTAAGTCAGCTGCCAGATATAGCATCAGCATACTACGACTCTTCTCAGCACTTACCACGCCTGAAAATAGACCTTCGGTTAGAAATCATGCAAACAGCCATTGAGACCGGCCGGGGAACACCCAAACACCTTTGGACTGTTCTCAGTGCAGATCACCATAGATCTATTCACTGCAGTATCTGATTGTTGTGAAGCTTACGGAACTAGCACAGGACTCCCGGTTTGAAAACTAAAGTCAAAAACTGCACTTTTCACACTTAAAGCTTCAAAATAGGTCTTTCGGGGGCCAAAATCGTGCAACAGCCACGGACGGCCTGAGGGAAAACCTCAAACACATCGGAGGACCAATGTGAGTTGTGGAAACTTACCGGAAACTAGCACGTTTACACACGGTTTGAAAACTAAGTCCAAAAAAGGCACTTTTCAACACTTAAGCTTTTGAAAATAGACCTCAGGGGAAAAAAATGTTCAACAGCAACGAGACGGCCTGGGAACACCTCATCACCTCGGAGGGAACCCAATGTCAAGTTGTCGAATCTACAGAACTAGCACGGACTCCGGTTTGAAACTAAGTCCAAAAAGGCCTTTTTCAACTTAAGCTTGAAAATAACCTTCGGCGCCAAAAATCGTGCAAACAGTAATGAGACGGCTGGGAACACCTCAAACACCTCGGGAGGGACCAATGTGAAGTTGTTGATACGGAATAGCACGGACTCCTGGTTTTGAAATTAATTCAAAAATGCTACTTTTTCACACTTAAGCTTGAAAACAGGCCACGGGGGCCAAAATGTGCAAACAGAAAAAAAAAAAAAACACGAGAAGACCCGGGGAATACCTCAAACACGTCGGGAGGCACCAATTGCGTTTTGGAACATACGAACTAGCACGGACTACGTTTTGAACTAAGTCCAAAAATGCACTATTTTCACAACTTAAAGCTTGAAAAATAGAGCCATACGAGGCCCAAAATCGTGCCAACAGCCACGAAGGCGGCCCGTGAACACCTCAAACACCTCACGAGGGACCAAGTGTGAGTTATGGAAAACTAATGAAACTAGGCACAAAAACTCCCAGGTTTGAAAACTTAAGTCAAAAAAATGCACTTTCTGACACTTAAGCTATCAAAATAAACCTATTGGAGCCAAAATCATGCAGCTGACCACGGGATTGGCACCGGGGAAACACACTCAAATACGTCAAGATGGACCAATGGGAGTTGTGGAAACTATATAGAACTAGCACAGGACTCCACCGGATTTTTGAAAACCTAAGTCCAAAATGCACTTTATATTCACACTGAGCTGAAAATAGCACGAGGCCCAAAATCCGTGCAACAACCATGAGACGGCCCCGAGGAACACCTCCACCACCTCGGGAGAGAACCTTATGTGAGTTTTAGGAAAATTACCCCGGAACTAGCACGGGACTCCCGTTTGAAACTAAGTCAAAAAAGCCACTTTTTCACATTTAAGCTTGAAAATTAGGCCACCGGAGGCCAAAATTGTGCAAACAGCCACGGACGGCCAGGGGAACACCTCAAACACATCGGGAGGACAATGTGAGTTGTGGAAACTTACGGAATTTAGTATGGGACTTCACCGGTTTGAAAACTGAGTCTAAAAATGCACTTTTTCACACTTAAGCTTTGAAAATAGGCCACCGGGGGCCAATCGTGCAACAGCCACGGGACAGCCAGGGAAACAACCTCAAACACACGGAGGAACCAATGGTGAGTTGTGGAAGCTTACGGAACTAGTACGGGACTCCCGGTTTGAAACTAAGTCTAAAAAATGCACTTTTTTCACACTAAGCTTGAAAATAGGCCACTGGGGGCCAAAACCGTGCAACAGCCACAGGACGGCCCGGGGAACACCTCGAACACCTTGGGAGGGACAAGGTTAAGTTGTGGAAACTATTGAACTAGCGCGGGACTCCCGGTGTGAAAACTAAGTCCGAAGAGGCACATTTTTTCACACTTAAGCTTGAAATTAGACTTTCGGGGCCAAAATCGTGCAAGAACGATAGACAGTTGGGGAACACTCAAACGACACCTCGGGAGGGACCAATGTGAGTTGTTAAAAAACTTTACGAAACAAGCAGGGACTCTCGGTTTGAAAACTTAAGTCCAAAATACACTTTTTCACAACTTAAGATATGAAAATAAACCTTCGGGAGCCAAAATCGTGCAAACAGCCACGAGACGGCCTGGGGAACACCTCAAACACCTCAGGAGGACCAATGTGAGTTGTGGAAAATTACGGATCTAGCACGGGGAACTCTCGGTTTGAAATCTAAGTCCAAAAAGCACTGTTTTCACACTTAAGTTTGAAAATAGACCTTCGGGGCCAAAATCATGCAATAGCCATGAGACGGCGCCCGGGGAACACCTCAAACCACCTCGGGAGGACCAAAGGAGTTGTGGAAACTTACGGTATCTAGCACGGGACTTCCCGGTTTAAAAAACTAAGTCCAAAGGTACTTTTCACACTAAGCTGAAAATTAGCCTTCGGGGGCCAAAATCATGCACAGCAACGAAACGGCCTGAGAAACACCTCAAACACCCTCAGGAGGAGCATGTTGTTGTGGAAATTGACGAGAACTAGCACGGACTCCCATGTTTAAACTAAGTCCAAAAAAGCACTTTTTCTTAGTTAAGCTTTGAAAATAGGCCATCGTGCGGCCAAAAATCATGGAAAGCATGAGACGGCCTGGGGAACACGTCAACATCTTCGAGAGACAAATAAGAGTTGTGGAAACTGATAGACTAAGCACCGGACTCCCGGTTTTAGAAAACTAAGTCCAAAAAGACACATTTTCACACTTAAACTTGAAAATAGAACCCCAACCCATAAAACCAAATAAACCCAAACAACCCCACCCAAACCCAACCCCAAACCCCCTTCAGGGCCAAAATCGCTGCAACAACAATGAAACAGCCTGGGGAACACCTCAACACCTCGGCAGGGACGCATATGAGTTGTTCAAACTTACGGAACTAGCACAGGACTCCGGTTTTGAAAACCTAAGTCCAAAAGCACTTTTCACAACTTAAGCTTGAAATAGGCCACAAACGGAGGCTAAAAATCGTGCAACAGCCACGACGCCCGGGGAAAATCTCAAACACCTCGGAGGGACCAATGTGAGTTTCATGGAAAATTACGGTATAGCCGGACTCCCGGTTTTTGAAAACTTATAGTCCAAAAAGGGTATTTTTTTCACACTT